CCAATTTTATGCCTTTGGGAATTGGCTAGAATGAGAAATGGACACAACTTCTTGGAGGCCCCAAGTGGTCAGGACTACTTTAATCTGGCCCATCTGCTGATAGGTAGGATAGGTGACAGGTACTCACTCAACTGGACAGCCACGTTGGAAGGCAGACTCTCCTGGCTGTTCTCCATTCATAATGTTTCAGAGCCATCTCTGAGATTGCCTATGAAAGTCTAAACTGCTCATACCCTTTAACTCAATGATACAAGTATGTCTGTATCCTCAAAGAGACCAAAGAAAGAGGAAACGGACTCCTATGTACAAAAATGCCAATAGCAGCTCTTTTGGGGGTGAGGAAGAACTGAAAGCAAAGATGTGTTTATTTATTGGAGAATGGCTGGTCAAGTTATGGTATATGAATGTAACTGAATAGTACTGTTTAATAAGAAATGATCAAAAGGACAGTTTCAGAGAAATCTGGCTAGACCTGTATAAACAGATTCTGAGTAAAGTGAACAGAACCAGGAGAATAATGTGTATAATAACAACATTATAAGGACTGGTTGTTGTCTTTCACACTCTAAAGACCAAAATGACATCACTATGTTGAGGCCAAGGTAAAGTATGTCTAACTATGGTTGATCAGGCCAATATGAGCTCTGAGGGCTCTATCGTTGATCAGGCACAAATAGTCAGCATGAACTTTTGGAGTAGAGATGGCCCTAAATTTGTGCAGCTCATGTTTCTTTTGAGCTACCTCGATTCTGCTTTGCTCATAGAGCACAGTGCCTTCTCTGATTCAGGCATGCCATGCTGGGCAGTCCTGTAACTTTGAAAGACTTGAGAACTCTGATCAATGCAATGACCAACCACCATTCCGGAGGACTGATGCACAAAGCCTGATGCTCACCTCTTTGCAGAGAAGGGAAGCGGAACAAGATAAACCTTTTCAGGCACAGCTAATGTGGGAATTGGCTTTGCTTGACTGCATGTATGTTACAAGGGCTTTGTTTTTCCAATGGGGGTGGGAGAGGAAAGGAGGAAAGAGATAGGAAGGAAGACAACAGAAAGGTGACCAGAAAAAAGCCCAGACCAGCAAGACAGTTCTGAAAACAATAGCAAAAATGTATTCTATACTTTCAAAGGAAAGTGATTTCATCAGCAATCTTGTTTTTTTTATCCTGTTGTACAAAATACATGAAAATGTCCATTTCATCTGACATTTGTGAAGTTCAGAATAAAAAAAATTTTTTTAAAGAAATTTCCCAGACCTTCAGAATAGCAATAAAAGATACCAACAAAAGCCAAGAAGGGTTGTGTGACTAGATGTGATCATACCTGCATGAGTCCTCTTGAATCTTGTCTCTACTACTGACTACCTGTGTGACCCAAAGCGAGTCACTTGACCATTCTGACCTCAGTTTCTTCATTGTTAATGAAAGCATTGGACTAGATTACCTTTGAGGTCCCTGCCAGCTTGAAATCTATGAGAATACACTTATACTTACCTACCTCAGGAGGCAGTTTGGGGAAATATACATTGTGAATCTTAGTAATGTTACCCTTCAAGAGTGCATTGGTAAATGGTCCTTAAGAATGGTAATGATGTTATTTCTATTCACCTGGGATCCATCAACTCCTATTGGACAAAGGAGAGGTACAGATCTATGCCAGAGGTACAGCGACACAAGCCCAGACCCCCAACCTGATGTGCAGGTCAGAGTTCAGTTATTTACATTTTCCCTGGCTTCCCTTCTCATGGTTCAGGGGGCAAGCTACAAGTCAAAAGACTTGGGTTCTTGTGCTGGTTTTGCTACTGAGTCTTTGCCATCTTGGACAAGTTACTAAGCCTCTGGCCTCAGTTTCCCAATCAATAAAATGAGGTGTTTGAAATAGTTGGTTTCAAAGGTCCCTTTCCCCACCATCATTCTATGAGCCTAATATCTTAAATCCCTTCTCCTCCTTAGACCTCCGCTTCTTCATCAGAGAGGTTGGTTTCAATGAGCTCTAATGTCCCTTCATTCATTCAATAAGCCTGTAATAAGCACCTACTATGTGCTTGATACTGTGCTGGAGATTCAAAGAAAAAAAAATCACAGTCCCTGCCCTCAAGAAGCTTGTATTACATTGGAGAAAACAATATGTAACTGAAAACATTAAGATTTTGTTTTCAGTCATGTCCAACTCTTTGTGACCCAATTTGGGATTTTCTCAGCAAAGATATGAGAGTGGTTTGCCATTTCTTTCTCCAGTTCATCTTACAGAAGAGGAAACTGAGGCAAACAAATTTAAGTGATTTGCCCAGGGTCACACAGCTAGTAAGTGTCTGAGCCCAGACTTAACCTTTAGCAGATGAGTCTTCCTGACTCCAGCCGACTGCTCTATCCACTGAGCCACCTAGGTACCCTTATAAAGGAGACAGATACAATGAACTTCCAGAGGAGGGTGTTAGCATCATGGGGGTGTGGTGAAACACCTGTGCAGGAGGCAGTGTTTCAGCTGAGCTTGGAGGAAGCTGAAGACCAGGAGGGAAAGTATTCCAGGTACGGGAGACAAGGGCTGGAGACTGGAGATAGAACAAAGCCTCTTCCAGGTCTGACCTTCTGGGAGTCCACAATTTCTCCTCATCATGAGGCCTAGAACCCAGCACCCTTGCTGGCAGGTAGTTATCCTCATTTTCAAGGACGGCAAGTAGCCCAGGGGGAAATAGACAGAAATTTTAAAAATGTTTTAGCCAATAGATTTTTCAAAAATCTTCCTGGAAAGGAGTTGAGAAGGATTGGAAGGTCTGTGGTCCAGTGCCTGGGGAGGCTGTTGTCTGTCTCTCTGGGGGTAGATTGAGGGGATAGAGGCAGAGGTTGATGAGCGCTTTCGGGGCAGGGGACCCAGGGGATCCTTGGCCAGATGCATGTTGAACTGCATGTCCCTGCAATCCCGTCCAGTTGGGACAGTCTGGGGTTCTAGGGGCTGCCAGAAAAAGGACGGATTCTCAGGATCCAGGCTGCCCGCTGGGGACAGAGCAGCCCCAACCTGAGTTCGATGCGCCATCTAGTGGCTACCATTGTTCTAAAGAATTGGGCTGGAACTAGGGTTTGGAGAGAGGAAAAGGAGAGTAGTCTCTCCCCAGACACCCAAGGAGGTTACACTGTGAGCCAAAGAAAAGGCAAGACAGGAGAGAGGAAGAAAGATAAAACCCAGGAAGCTTCTTAGGAGCACAGGGGGCTGGGAGGGGAAGAGACTCCCCTGTCTTCCCTGAGGTCAACTTTTTATCAGCCTCCTAGAGGGGGGTGGGTCAAAGCTTAGCTTGTGCCTGGGGGGAGGGGAGGCGGACAGGATAGGCGGAGAAGGTCCTGTTACTAATAACGGCTATCCTTTGGTAAGTTCCGGACACACAGTAAGTGCTTAATAAATGCTTTCCAAATATGATTGCTCACAAGGTCTTCACAGGGCAGGTATCATTGATCCTATTTTGCAGAGGGATAATTGGGGCTCAGAGATATTTTGTGACTTGTCCAAGGTGGCACCTATTAGTAAGTGCTGGGATTCCAAGACAGGACTGTCCAGTCTGGCACTGACTTTTTTTTTTTTTTAGGATAGGCAATGGGGTTAAGTGACTTGCCCAGGGTCACACAGCTAGTGTTATGTGTCTGAGGCTACATTTGAACTCAGTTCCTCCTGAATCCAGGGCCGGTGCTCTATCAACTGGACCACCTAGCTGGTCCTTGGCATTGACTTTTCCTATTCTTCCCTGCCTCCCTCCTCTTTTGTGCCTCTCCTTGATTTCTAGGAGTCCCCTCAGTTTAAATGAGTCGCTAGGAGGAAACTCTCTAAAAGTCAGTTGCCAGGAGAAGCCCAAGACTCTGTGAAGCTGGAGGCCAGAATGTCAGTGATGGGAGGCCCCTTGGAGACCTTCAGCGTACAGATGGGTGGATGGCCAGAGCGGAAAGCCCTCGCCCAAAATACAAGCCTGGCCCATTCCTCTCAGTCCTGGCTCCTTGGAATTAGCCGTAGGTCAGTCCCATCTCCCCTAGCCGACTTGGGCCTGGCCAGCTTTCCTTTGCTGTGGTCCACCAGGGAGGTAGAGGAAAGGTGCTGCCTAAGTTAGGGGGATTGGGGATAGGGGGTGCAGGGGGAAGGAGGGACCAAGGAGAGGGCAGAGTCACTTCTTTCTCTGGATTTCAGCTCCCCAACCGGTGGGGACGAAACTGGCAGCCTGCCTCCTCTCCATGTCTGTGCATCCACTGTTCCCATAAATTCTCTTCTCCCTGCAGGCAGACTGTTTGTTACCCAGAACTGGGCCTCCAGGGGCCAGTTACCCAACCAGCCTTCCTTCTTTCTCTCTCCTTTTCTCCTTCTCTCCTTCCTTCCCCCCTTTGTCCTCTCTCTCCCTTCCCCCTCTTTCTCCCTTCCCCCCTTCTCCTTCCTTTCCTCCTTCCCTCATTTCTTTTCTTCCTTCTGTCCTTCCCTTAGCCATTCCTTAGCTCCTTTATCTCCTTTCCTCCTTTTCTTTCTCTCCTTCCCTCCCCTTCCCTCTCTTCCGTAGCTCTCCCTCCTTCCTTCCCAGCTTCCTCCCCGCCCCTCCCCACTCCTAGGGCCGTCTAGGGGCGGGGCCCAAAGGAGCTGGGGGGGGGCAGAGGGGAGAAAGGACTGTACCCGCGCGCGTGGGGGGTGGGGTGGGGGCGGGGCGGTTGTGTTTGTGAGAATTCGCCCGTGGGTTTGGGTGTGGACTGACCCCCAGAGATTTGACCCTGGTATGAAATACTATAGCTATTTGCAGAAACCTCATCAGAGGGCAGATAAGGAGCCCTATAAAAGGCGTGGGCACCTGCAGCCGCTGCGTCCTCTCCTTCCTCCCCATCCCAGCGCCTTGGCTCCCTAGTGCTTAATCAGCCCGTCTGGAATCGCCTGCCAGTGCCCGTTTGGCCGCCTCTGTGCCTTCTTGCCCACCACTCTGTGTGCAAGAGCGGCCGCTTGGAGAGAGGCAGCTCCAGGACAGACCAACGGCCGGCTGCGCCATGGCCCTGCTGCTGACCCCTCTGCTGACCCTGGCCGCGCTCTGGCTGGCCCCGACGGTGCGTGCCCGGCCGCTGTCGGACGCGGGTCCGCACGTCTACTACGGCTGGGGGGAGCCCATTCGCCTGCGGCATCTCTACACTGCCAATCGGCATGGGCTGGCCAGCTTCTTCTTCCTTCGGATCCACCGCGACGGCCGCGTGGACGGCAGCCGGAGTCAGAGCGCGCTGAGTAAGTTGGTGAAGGGTAGAAATGAACCCAGCTGGGTGTATGTGCGTGTGTGTGGGCTTGTACATCCGTGTACACGCTTGAGTGTGCTTGCTAGCTCTCCTCTGGAACTACAGACCCTCCCTCCCTCCCCCCTCTTCCAGACGAAAGGCCCCCGGGTGCCTCTGTCCCCCGGCGCTGCTCCAGGCTCACCCCGGCAGACTGGAGGGCTTTCTGCCCCGGATCCTCTGGCTGGACAGACGGAGGTCTGAACGGGCAGCACCTAGCAGCGGATAGAGCAAGGCTGCTCCCAGTCCTGCTGCACATTCCTCAGTCCCGCTGGGCGAGGGTAACCCTGCCTTCTGGCCAGTTTCGCGGAGTCACTCCCCTCCACCACCCCCTCAAATACTTTGACCCTTGGGAGTCCAGAGTTGAGGCTGCTCGGAGGTGCAGCGCAGAGGCTTGAGCTCACTCTGCTTCTGAGCGATGTTCGGGTGCCCCGACGGGGCACCTCTTCGCTCCTCACCTGTCTCCTTTTTGCTCAGGTTTGCTGGAGATCAAGGCTGTAGCTCTTCGGACCGTGGCGATCAAAGGTGTCCACAGCTCTCGGTACCTGTGTATGGGAGACGCCGGGAAGCTCCAGGGATCGGTAAATCAATTTTTCCAGTCCAATTCCGGGGGATGGGGCTATTCGCTCACCTCTGCTAGTTTTCTGGGCTTAAAAAAGTATCGATGTTTACCTCTGTGTGACCCTGGGCTCCAAATTACTAAACCACTCTGAGCCTCAGTTTCTCAGCTGAAAAATGGTGATACCTACCTGGAGCCTCTGGGAGGCTCTAATGGGATTAGGGATGTCAAATTCTTGACTAGAGTTGGAACTCAGCTGGAGGAGGAATGTGGCTTCTTTGTGTTAAGAAGCCGGAGCCTGGCACTTCTGGAGATACTCGAGGGGCTGGGGAGCCCCGGGGTCCCAGACTGCAGCCTGGAGGGCGGTGGCTCCAGCTCCAATCCAAGTCGAGGGAGGGGGACTGCTGGCTGCTAGTTTGCAAAAAGAGAACGCTCTCAGACGCTACTTCCCAGGGTACTGAGGAGCTAAGGAGTCGAGATCTGAGAAACAGTAGTTCCTGTTCCTTTGACTAACCCCCTAACCAGCTGAGCTTCAGCTCCAAATCCAGGGCAGAAAAGCGAGGAAAGATCTAGAGCCCGGAGAGATTCGCTTTGTGCAGGCGCTTTGGCATTTGGACCGGAAAGCGAGAAGTGACTGTCTTTGCGCAAGCTGCCAGAAAGGAACTCTTACAAACAATAATAAAAGGGGGGCTTTGATTTTCTGGTTAAGCCACAGAAATGCCCTGAAAGGGCTCTTCTGCTGCTTTAAATCTTCTTGAAAATTGGCTAAGTGCTTCCTCTAAGCATACCTGGGAAATCCCAGGGGAGAACCTTGGGGATCAATGCTGGAGCCCAATTTTTCTGCACTTTTAATAAAAGCAGAAATAATAGACTGGTCCCGACACCTCTGAGCCTCTTCCTAGCGAGGTGGTTTTCAAGTCACTCTTCCTTTCTGAGCCTCCGTTTCTTTGTCTATAAAATGGGGTGATGGATGCTAGCACCTACCCCTCAGCACTGTTTAGGGTCTCAAATGAGCTTATTGGCAGAAGGCGCAGGACCCGAGGGCTGGAGCTGTCCATTGGCCCACAAGCCTTTGTTAAGAGACTTACTCTGCCCTAGACATTGTCCTGAGAGCGGAGGGGACCCAGAGAAATCCAAACCTGCCCTGCCCCGAGGGGCTCACGAGCTAGTTGGAGGGTGACTACTGGTAAATGGGGGATAGCTGTGTGACCCCAGACTAGTCTCAGTCTCTCGGGGTTTCGGTTTCCTCTTGGGTAAAATGGCGGGGGCGGGGGGGGGGCGGGGAGAATAGCACCTTCTTTATTGAATTGTTGTGAGTCTCCAACGAGATCACAGTAAAGTGATTTCGAAACTTCAAAGAAGTGGCCTGAATGTTAGCTATTATTATGTAAAGCGCTTTCCCATCTTTCCTGCAAAAAAGGAAGGTTAATTATGTCACCATTGTTCTATATTCATCCAGTTCCCCTATTTTAAATCCTACCTCTTGCAAACTGTCAGGATAGTTTTTCAAAGATTTAGTCGTTTCTTCTGCCCTGAGAAGCCTGGGCGTCCAGAGGTTGGCCCCCAGTCCCACCAAGCTGGTCTCTTCATCTTAGAATAATAAACACTCCAGGCCCGTCAGCCAGCCATCCTACTGCTCCCCTATTACTGTTCAGCTCAGGCCTAGTGGGAAAGCTTGCCCCCACTGAAAAGGAGCTAGGCCCATGGAAAATCAGAGCTTGCTGCTTTCCTAATTAGCTGCCGACAAAGGCAGGAGTTCAAAGGGACCCACCATAAACCCCCCTCTCTTTCTGGGGTCATCGATGGCTGTTGGCTGTGGGAGGTCTGAGAAGGGTGGTCCGAGGAGGGCTGGTCAGGGGCCCCGGTACCCTCCGGCCCTGCTGTGAATGCCCACCCCCACCCCTTGTGCTTCCGAAGACCTGGGAATAGCCCGGATCCATTGCCTGCTAGGACGATGCAGGGAGAGCTCAGCTTTGATTAGCTTCTACCCAGGATGCTTCATGACCCAAGCTCAGGCCTTTTGATGTTGGTCCACAGCTTGTTTTGTGGATGCAAGCCATTGATGTCAGACCCCTTTGTGGCCTTTATTAGTTAAATACTTGAAGAGGAGGGGAGGACTAGTAGAGAGTGAAGAAAGGAGGAGGGGGCCCTGGGGAGAGATTTGGCACCTGGGGGTGGGGGCCCTAAAGGCATTGTGGCTATTTTTCCCATTGGGGCACTTACTTAAAGTGGCAGCTCCAAGGGCCCTCCTGGTCTTTCTGGTCATCTGTGCTCCAACCATTCACCAGGTGATCATCATGAAAAGCCTTTTCCTACTCTGCCTAATATGAAAGAGAAGGCTCAAGGAGGGTAGACATCTGCCTTAATGGATCTGGAGGGGCATTCCAGAAGAGGGATTAGCCTTCCTTGGTTTGGCTTCCAGGGCAAGGCTAGGAGCCTGGAGAGGGACGGAATGTGAAGGGCACGATGGGGCCAGCTGGCTGTTCCCTCTAAATACCGTTCTACATCCTAACACTTCCAATTGAAACCATTGATTTTCAAACCATTAAATGTTGTTAAACTCAGTTATATTAGTTGAAGTGAATGGGGTTTATTTTGAGAATTAAATTTCCCACTAATCTCCCAGCCAGTTTGTTTTTTTTTAATGTTAGATGTGGGAAGATAAATCAGATTGAAAAGCCAGCCCCTTCCCAGTCCCCAGTCATTGGAATCCTGAGCCAGATAACCATGTGATGGCCGCTGCTGACAGAAGGAGCAAAAGGCCGGCAGAGCCCTTCCTAATGTCCTTCCTTCCTATGGTTCTGGAGAGAAGATCCCCAAGGGGGTCCGGGGGAATCGAGATGCTGAGGTGATCTTTCGAGCTGTTCAGAAAGAACAAGCTGCCCTGGGAGGGCTCAGTAAGCAGAGGCTTGTCGGGGGTGGCATGGAGGCATGGCGAGCTCAGACGCCTCCCAAGTTCCCTCCAACCAGCTTCAGAGATTGGCTGAGTTTGAGGCTTCACTTCACAGTCTCTCTCTGGTTTTCCATTTTAGAAATGATTGACTATAGGATGGAATAACCAGCCACTCCACTTAGCTGTCATTTGCATTTGACCAAGAGCTGTCAAGCATCTCCCTGATGGTTTATTACAGGTTGAAAGAGTTCACCAGGAGCCATCACCTGTAGTGCATTGACCCCTGAGCCGGAGTCAGTGAGAGCCCTGAGCTTCGGGGCCCCGTGGCCCCTGAGCTCTGAACACCAGGTTGTTGAGCCCAGCACCTTAGTTAGGAACATTGTGGGGGGGGGGGGACTCTCGTGGAGAAGGGAAGGGTTTGGACTGGTGGGCAGGATCATGAGGACTGAGGGTTTTCCTCTGAGACTACAAGATCCTTCCAGATAACCGACTAATTAACATTGGAAATGTAAATGAACCACAGGCATCAAACATCTATCTCTAAAAATGAATCCTTGATGTGGTGGTCTATAGTAATATTGTTTAAAAGCCTCCCAAGCTTAAAAATAGAAGAAGTCTTGAATTCCAATCCTGGCTTGCCCCCTCCCTTCCTAACTGGGTAAATGTGGGCAAATCCCTTTGTCTCTCTGGTCTTGGTTTTCGTGTGTACGTGTGTGTGTGTGTGTGTGTGTGTGTTATTGTGCGCACACACACAAGCTTAGCATCCTCAGCACTTAGTAAGTGCTTGATATGTGCTTATTGACTAAAATGAGGGTCTGGACTTAATGGACAGTAAGGTTCCTTTCCCTTCTGCCTTTGGGGGATTCTCCACCTCCTTCTTTCTCAGTCTCCGAGCTGGAAGGAACCTCAGAGCCTACCTAGTCTCACTCATCTGGACCTGGATGAGGAAACTCCCCCCTCCACCCAGTGAGAGGGCTAACGGGCAAACACCATCCTCAGCTTGGAGAGCCCCGGGGCAGAGGAAGGAAGCCATTTCCTGGGGCAGCCCAGACCCCTTTAGGGAAGCAAACTTTTCCTTGCCTAGATTAACTTGACCTCTTGGTTGTTGTACCCACCATCCCTTGTCCTGAGTTCTGGCTTCTAGGACCGAGCACAACAAATCACCAAAGACGATCAGCAGGCCTCCCTGAGGCAGGCAGGCATACATTCCACTATTGTCCTCTCCAGGTGCTATACCCTTGGTTTCAAGGAAGCACCAGGCACTGTGCTCAGCACTTTACACATCTTGTCTGCATTGATTCTCACAACAACGCTGGGGGTTGGTGCTGTTATGATCCTCATTCTACAGTTGAAGAAACTGAGGCAGATAGCAGTTCATTGACTTGTCCAGAGCCACACAGCTAGTAAGTGTCTGAGGCAAGACTTGAACTCAAGCATTTTGACTTCTAGTCCTATACCTAGGGGGACACATTCCCACAGCCTCCACCTAGTAAGGGGAAGAAGTAAGATTTGAACCCAGATCCTCTGGCCTTGACAAAACAAATGTCTTCCCCGCCCCCCTTCTAGACTCAGTTTCCTCATTTGCTAAGTGGGGATAATCAGACTGAAGTCCCTCCCTTGAGTCAGCTCTTGCAGATGGTGATGGGCCTCACTGGCCTGGTTCCCCTTACCTGCTATGCGGTCACTGGTGTAACGGAGGAGGTTCTAATGGATTTGTGTCTCTGTCTAGGTGAGGTTCTCTGCCCAAGACTGCACCTTTGAGGAGCAGATCCGCCCTGATGGCTATAACGTGTACCAGTCCCAGAAGTACGGCCTCCCTGTCTCCCTCTGCAGCGACCGGCAGAGGCAGCTGTTCCACGGCAAGGACTTCCTGCCTCTGTCTCATTTCTTGCCCATGATCAGCTCCGTTCCTCTGGAGGCTGAGGAGTCTGGGGGCCACAGAGAGGCCTTTGACCCTGAGATGTTTTCCTCGCCACTAGAAATGGACAGCATGGACCCCTTTGGCCTCGCCTCCAAACTCTCACCCATAAAGAGCCCCAGCTTCCAGAAATGAGTGAGGCCACTGCCAGGATTTGGAAACCAAGCCCTCCGTCCCTCTCTTGTCCACATGGAGCAGATGGGCTGCAGGGGTGTCTTGAAGGATGAAGACGTCCCTGGAGAGAGTGACAGTTACAGTTTTGTAAATACATAAAGCATCTTGAGATGGTCCATGTGTAAGATACTGAGCATCTGCCAACCCCCTGCCCGCAGGATCTCTTATTTGGGCAGGGTCACCTTCCATGGGGTGCAGGAAAGACTCCTTTCTGCCATGCATCAGTGATTATGGGAACTGGAAGGGTGGGCGTGACCAACCTCAGATCCATTTTGGAATGGAGCCAAGGCTCAGAGTCACCCCTAGAACCAAGGCCTCAGCCGGGGGTGACCCCGGACTGGTCGTGACGGGCCTGCTGCGGACTGGAAGAGGCCCCCCCCCCCCCCCCCCCCGGGTCCTCATCCTCACACAAGGACCAGGGTGAACGACCTCTCTCTCCAGCCTACTAAGCATCAGATTGCCCCAGGAGATAAGGCTTTAGCCCCTCCCTGCCCCCTGCTAATTCCGTCTTTCAACCTGGCTTACCTCACTTGATAGGAAGAAATGAAATGACCTTGTCACCCCCAGCTTGATGACTGCCTGTCTTTTCAGTGTAAACACAGCTTGAAAGAGAAAGAGATAGGAGCCAGCACCGGGGCAGCTTGTGGACCCCAGTCATCTGGGGGACTCTCAGACACATGTCTAGAGGGAGGGCCCAAGGAATAGCAAACAGCAGGCCCCGAGGTAGAGCCCCCAGAGGCCTCTCCCCTCCCATGGTAGCACGCCTTGGGCTCCCTGCTCTCCCTCCTCTTGCCCCTTCTCTTCCTCTTCCTTTTCCTCTTCCTCCTCTTTCTCCTCTTCTTCTTCTGTCAGTGGTAGAGGGGGGACAGGAGCTGTGAACAATCCAAGGCCAGCTTGGGGATGCCTTCCTTGGGTACCCCGCCCACTCCCTAGAGCAGACTGCCACTCCTTGTAATCGGGTCCTCCTGGGCAATCTCACGCCTCCTCTGCCCAGCACTTAGCTGCCTCATGTGCTATTTATGAGTAATTTATTGTCCCAGGTTCAGCCCGTTGTTTTTCTTTATTTATGCCCTGTCATATTTATGCGCCGATAGGAGCTTTGTTTTTTACATTAAAGTGGCATTGGTTTATATCAAAGCCTGTCTCATTTCTGAAGAGGTTTCTGTGGAAGGGAGGACAGAACTGGGTCCAAATGGAGCGCTCGGAGGCCCGGCCTCCTCCCAGAGGTCTCTAGGTAGAGGCTCCAGGCCCGATTGATAGACGAGCAGGTTTTAAGTACTTGCTGTCTGCCAGGTGCCAAGCCCTTTGTGGGGGAGGGTGTGGGTGGAGGGAGAAGGTTCTTGTTGAGGCACTAGTACAAGTGATGAGCCCCCAGGGTCATGCCCCTGCATCAAGAGTTTATTGGAAATTCTTCTCTCAGAGGAGACTGTTGAACAAGGAAAAGGTGGGTGGGTGCTGGACAGGAGAGAAAGAGGGCCAAAGCTCTTCCTGCTCCAGTTAGGGGCATGAGTCCAGACCCCAAAGCACCTCTCCTCTGTGCACCCAGGTCATGAATCCTCCCTGAACACGGAAACTCCTGAGCTTCATCTGTGGAGGCAAAGGGAAGGAAGCCCTCAGAACTCTGGATGTCTGGGATGGGTCCAGCCAGGAGCTCCGAGGTCTCAGCCAGATCTCCTCACTGACCTGAGCCTCTCTCAGTTTTCTCATCTGTAAAATGGAGCCATCGTCCATGCTGCCTGTCTCCTGGGGCTGTGGCAAACCAGAGGATGTGTAGAAGCACTTTGAGTGATGAAAAATGCTCCAATGTAGAAAGGCTTTGGACAAACAGGAGCACCTATATGGGGAGGGGGACAGAGAAGGGGTCGAGCACTCCTTGAACCTCTGCAAATAGGCCTCAGATTCCTCTGGGATTCACATCTGGACACGGCCTCCTTCTCAATCCACATCCTGGCTGAGTACCTCAGCCAGCAGGCTCCAGGCGTGTCCCACCATTGTGAGGGGAGGGCAGCAGCAGCTGGCCCTGGGAAGAAATGGTTTAGCCCAGAGAACGGTGGGAAGGGGTCACAGGACCAGAGAGTTAGTGCTGGAAGCAGCCTGCGAGGCCAGCTATTCTAATCCACTCATTTTATAGACGAAGAAACTGAGGCCTAGAAAGGCAGGTGATCAGCCAGAGGTTGCTCAGGTTGGATTAGATAATCATAACTGACGTTTATAGCAGTGTAAGGTTTGCAAAGCACCACAAAAATATATACTTATCACACATCCATCCTTACAGCAACCCTGGGAGGTAGGTGCTGTTACTCTACCCACTTTATGGAAGAGGAAACTGAGGCTGAGAGAGGTCGTCAGTTAGTCAGCTAGCATTTATTAAACATTTACTAGATGCCGGTCACTGTGCTGAGTGTCTGAGACAGAATTGGAACCCAGGTCTGGCCGACTCCTGGTGTGTCCGCTGCTTTTCCCACTAGATTACATCTCTCTCTCTCTCTTTCTGTCTCCCTCCCTCCCTCCCTCATCCCCCCTCCTGTCTTTTTTCTCTTCTCCCCCTTCCTCTCCTTTTCTCTTCTCTTCTGTCTCCCTCCCTCCCTGTCTCTCCCTCCCTTCCCCCCTCCTCCCTCCTCTCCTCTCCTCTCCTCTTCTCTCTCTCTCTTCCCCACCCCTTCCAGCTCAGAGATGGCACGATTCTTTGGGTTACTTCAATGTCAGTTTAAGCCTCTGCTGTGGGACCCATCTGGCTTCCCATATGGAGAACCAGTAACACTTGACACTTACTAGCTGTGTGACCCTGGGCAAGTCACTTAACCCCAATTGCCTTTAAAAAAAAAAAAAAAGAACCAGTAGTCTGCATCTTACTGGATTGGAAGTTACCAAGACAACCAGTCCTAGCTCCCTCTGCTCCTTTACTATTATTTACATTAGACCACGAACCGTCAAGTGTCTCCCAGAGGTTTCATCACTGGTAGAAAGAATTCCCTGGGGCCAGAACCTGTGGTTCATTGACCTCTGAGCCTGAGGCAGAAAGAGCCCTGAGCTGTGGGGCCCAGGTATACCCTTGAGCTCTGAACGCCAGGTTGCAGAGCCTGGCACCTTGATTATAACCATTGTCTGAGGGCGGATGGATAGATGGATGGATGCACTCTCTGAGACTTGAGGTGTTTGGGCTCTTGGGTAAGAACATGGGAACAGAGTTTTCCTCTGACACCACAGAGAACACCAGGCTAGAATTGATTTATTGGAAGTGTCAATGGAAGGTAGGCACCAAACATCTACCTTTAAGATATCTCATCAATGTGGCCTACAATAGTATTGTTTAAAAGACTAAGAAGCTTGGATTCAGAAAATGTGAGTTCAAATCTTGGCTGGCTGTTTACTGGCTGCATAACTTTCCTTCTCGCCTCTGAAAGAAGAGAGGATTGGATTTGATGGATTTTCCTAGCCCGTCCAACTCTGACATTTTGTGGCTCTCTGGGCCATGGTTTCTGGCCTCTGTTACAGTTTAGAAAGTCTAGCTTTCTCAGAGGTGGACAGAACCTTAGCAAGCATCTCATCCAAGCCATCCCTGAAGGAGAATTCCCTCTTCAATGTATCCAGTAAGTGGCCATCCAGCTTTGGCTAGAAGACCTCCAGTGAGCCAGGAGCCCCCCAGCTCCTGGGGCACCCCATGTCTCTTTAGGATGGCTCCGACCTGTAAATGGTTGTTGACTGACTGACTCCAGTCTAACATGAACTCTTCACAGCTTCCTTTCACCACTCCTCGCCTTGTCTTCTGGGGCCATCTAAAGCTAGTCCAATCTCCCTTCCAATAATAGGAGAAAACTGTCATCCCCTCTCTGTTCTTTCTCCTCAAAGCTAAATGTTCTCCAGGTTAAGCATGTCCACTTCCTTCAATCTCTCCTCATACAGTGAGAATAGATTAAAAAAAAAAGATCCAGGTTCAAATCCAGCCTATGCCACTGACCCTGATCCTGAACAAGTCATTTAACTTCTGTCTGCCTCAATTTCTTCATTTGTCAGATGGAGATAAGAGGATTTATAGTGCTTGCCTCATTTAGTTTGGGAGCACAGCTAGGTTATTAGTAAAAAACAAAAAATGATACAGAAATACATGTATCTCCTGTCTTCAACAAGGGAAAGGCACATCCCATGATTTGGGGAGACATTAAGTACATCAGTCAGCCCCAAATCCCTAAGTTTGCCCTTGATCTCTGCCCGACATCTCTCCCCATTAACTTAGCCAGTGCTGGTCTTGTAATAGCCTTTATCTTCACTGGCCTTGATTTTCCCAGGACAGGGAAGGGCCATTGATACTGGGACAGTTACCCCACAATGAAGAGACTTGCCTGGCCCTCTCTACCATTTCATGATCATGGATAGTGTCAATGGCTTTTCCTACTTCAATGTTCCCGGTCAGAAGAAATCACTCCAAGACAGGGCCGTGTATTTGGGTTGTTTTTATCACCTCTGCACCTTTGCAGGGTCCCGCTTCAAGATAGCCTGGTCCTAGGGGGCTGAGCCCTGAACAGCAGCAGCATCAAAGCTCATTAACTGCCCGCCCTTGCCCGTCCAACATTGCTTTGGGGGGGGGGGGCTGCCTGGCTCAGGTCTCTCCCCGCTCCGGTGTATTTTAAAGTGATCTTCCTAAAGTCCCAGTCTGACCATGTGATCCCTTTCCCTACCCAATCCACTCCAGTGGCTCCCTATGGCCTCCAGGAGCAAATACAGAATCCTCTGGCCTTCAAGGCCTGTGTCCTTCTATCTTTCCAGCCTTCCTACACCTCACTCCTCAATGTGGGTGAATCCACCCTCCTGGCTGTTCCATGAACAGGACCCTCCACTCTGGGCCTTAGGCATTCTCTTGTGCTGTCCCCCAGGCCTGAAACCTCTACTTGCTCCACTTTGCCTACTGCCCTCCTTGGAAGCCTTCCCCACCTCTCTTCTTTGTGCTGGTGCCTTCAAGCTCATTCCACCCCGGCATTATTTCTCGCATTGGAAGTACCCTCCACACTTGAGACTGATTGGTTACTTCCTCCCAGAACTTTCATTTTAAAAATGATGTCCAGGTCATTTTCATGGCTCTCCAGGCTGCAATTCTGACTCATCTCAACAGGACTTTTGTCTACCATACCCCTTCAATGGGTACATTCATCTCCCCTTCCCCCTATTTCAACTCACTTTTATATGTTTTCTTCCCCTAGTAGAGTGTAAGCTCTTGAGGGCAGAGACTTTCTTTTGGCTTGGATTGGATATTTCCGGTACTGGCACATAGCAAGTAAGCAAGTGCTTAATAAGTACCTGTTATCTACCTAACCTCCCTTTCTGTCTGTCTCCAGTTTCTCCTGTCTCTGTTCATACATAGCTGTTTGCCTGTGGAGTCCCCAGTAGATTGTGATTCTCTTGAAGGCTATCTTTTACCTTTCTTTGCATCCCCAGTGCTTAGCACTATTCCTGGTACACAGTAGGTACTCAATAAATGCTTATCGCCCTGACTTACTGACACATTATTTCATTGATTGTCACAACAACCTGTGAAGAAGGTGCTATCATCCTTTTTTATGGATGAGGAAACTGAGGCTGAGGAAAATTATGTGATTTGCCCAGGGTTGCCTATCTGGTAAATATCTGAGTCACTGATATCTTCCTGACTCTAAGTCCAATGCTCTATCTGCTGTGACACCTAACTGCCTAGAGACAAAATGAAATGGTCCCTCCCTGCCCTCAAGGAGCTGGCACTCTACAGGAGAAATAAAACATGAACATGGATAAGTAAGCACAGGGTCAATTGAGGAGAGAAGGACAGAGAGAAAGAGACAGAGAAAAAAAAGGAAGAAGGAAGAAAGGAAGGAGGAAGGAAGAAAGGAAAGGAGGGAAGGAGAAAGAAAAAAGGAAGAAAGGAAGGAAGAGAGAGAGAGAGAGCGTGCAACAGACCTAAGAAAGGGGGATCATGGCAGGGAGGTATTTGATCTAAGCTCTGAAGGCAAGGAAGGATTCTAAGGGGTAGAGGTGAGGAGTACATTCCAGTCATGAGGGATAGCACATGCAAAGGTGAGAAATTAAATGCTAAGTTCACAAACAGCAAAAAGGCCAGTTTGCCTGACACTTAGAGTCTGTGCAGAAG